TATATTTTTATCTATACTATATTATTATGTACTTGACAAAAAATCTTAAAATATCATTCTTTATGGATGAAATATTATTTATTGATACATATTACTTAAAATTCAAGATTACAAGTAAATTGTGACTAAGTATAACTTATTAAACTTTCATGTTAAAATTCGTATAGCTAATTGAAGATAAACATAATCAAATAGAGGATAAATATTTTATTTTAAATATAAAAACTATAAAATATAATTAAGATAACCATTGAGTTCTAACAAAATACTTAATTATTATCTTTATAAAAAGATATATTATTAAACCAAAAATAAAAAAAATTAATTATAAAAAATACACAAAAAAATAAGAAATTTTAAGTAGTTTGGTTTGGTACCAATATCAATCATTTTTTTTTTCATTTTTTATGATATATTTTTATATTTATATTTTATTCAAAAATAAAACCATTAACGTTTGTAACACCCTAAAAAATTTATTATTCGTAAAATAAATAAATATTAATGGTTGAAATTTAAAGAGTAAACGACATACAGGATTAAAGTGTCGATACTTGAAAAATATGATTTTATTGCAATAAATAAAATCAATAAAAAAAAAGAAATGAAACATTTTGTATTTAATTGATTTGGGATGAAAATGCAAAAAGAAAAACAAAAAGGACTAGTTCTGCCAAAAGTAGAAAACTAATTTGGAAATGATTGAAATTTGGGAAATCATTCCCCAAATTCACGATTTTCCTATTCTAGAGACCGTTTGAGGATCTATAAATTGGAGTTTTCGGCTGAAATTTTGTGGAGACGTTCCTAAAGGTGTAAGGAAGTAAACGTTTTTGGAATTTCGAGATTTCATCAAGAAACAAGAGAGATATCGAGTTTGAATCGGCATAGGGTTATTCAGCACAAAAACGACGATTGGAGGTAAAATACTCAACCAAAATTGATGTATAATATATGGTTGGTTTCATTTTTCAATTATCTTTCTGTTGGTACAAGTCTCGTGGGCTATGATGGCTTGTACGTCGAGCAGTTTAGGCTAGAAGCTGTTGTGGCGGCGGCTCGACGAGATTCGGGKACAAAAACTCAAAATACGAGTTTAATATTGAACCGTAGGGGCTGTAAATTTGGATACGAGTTGGGATTATTATTATGTATAAGATTTTGTAAAAAGTTTGGTGAAAAACGATCGAAAAAATATCTCAAACGGAGATCGTTCACGATAGCCGCACCAAGGGTGCGACCGGGTTGAGTCGGGCGTCGAGTTGAGTCGGCCGACACTAGACCAGGTTTAGGCCACGGCCGTCTTATTTCGGTTAGTTCGGTTAGACTTGATTTGTTTTGATAAAATCGGTATTTGTTCAAAAGAGATTTGGGGCTCGTTTATGTACTTGGATTAATCGAAATAAACTGAGATGTTTTGATTAAGTTGGTCAAGATTTGGACATCAATTGTAAGGATTATTAATTAATTGAATTTCCATATTTAAATTATAGGTTATAATTTAGTAACTTATTTCGGGAGTTGTGACTAGATAATTGTGAGATCAGACGTTTTTATAACGAGAATCGTATATAATTAAATGCTGGGTTTAATACGTCGTAATTTATTTTGGATGTAAAAAGAATTCCATTAGGGAGGGGGGGTATATGGCGACGAAGTATGTTTGGGGTTGACCCGTTGACCATTCTTACCCCAAAGTTGACCTATTTGACTTTTGGGTTGACTTTTTTGGGAAATGTCAATACTCTAATTATTGAAATATAATTACATGTAATAGGATATTATTCAGGGACGAGGTTTAGCCAAACAGAGCTATTCAGGTGAGTCTTCATGAGACTTTAACTGCGATGCATGCTTATGTACAAATTATCTGAGCATTACGATATTTTTTTATGTACATGTTTATGGGTTTATTACATGTATATGAATTATTATTGTGGGTTGCATACTATTTGTTTACATGTTTTCTTTTAAAAACATCAATTAGCATGTTATAAAAGAATTTATATTTTCGTCGGGTATGGAAAGGGGTCAAAAGTCATAAGGGATGACACATCGTAGGGAGGGGTAACCGAACAAGGGATAGCCGTGTAACCCGAGGAAGTGCCGATGACGGTAAGACCTTAACCCGACGAAAAATTAGGAGATCTCATTATTATTTCAAAAAGGTTTGAAACAAATGTGCATATTATTTTATTTGGGGCATTGTTTGTTTTATGCATGATGAGGTGTGTATGATTGTGGACAAAAAACCATGAACTCACCGAGCTTTATAAAGCTGACTATTAGTATGCATCTCAGGTGCAAGAGGTTCAAAGGTGGACAAGAGCAAGGTTCTCTCATAGATAATTATATTATTATATTTCGGATGTTTAAGTTTATGCTTAAACTCATTTTGTAATGTAACCCGGTATAGGACGAGTTAGCGTTAAGTTATTAATTTTAATTGAATTTGTAAGACTTTCGCTGTAATAAGGCTTTATTAGCCACTATATTTAATGAGAATGACGTGACACAACTCATGGTGAAAATGAGGGTGTTACAAGTTGGTATCAGAGCCTTAGTTTAAGAGAATTAGGTTATTGATAGCCTAAGCTTAAATTGGGAGGGTATTAAGGGGATCCAAATTGGGTGAACTAGGTTATTAGCCTAGACTTGAATTAAGTGAAGTGGTGAAAGGGTATATAAGTTTGGTTTTTTTTTTTTTATGAAAGAGAAATGGTTTAAGCAAAATAGGATATGTGACAACCCAAGCTTAAATCATGGGATTAAGAATAGGAATGCAACATAAGATTCATATTGGAGTAATTTGCTATTATAAAAACTCATGATCGAATTATTGGTGATGTATTGTATTTCCTTTTAGAAAATGGGATGAGAATGGATGGTCTATGTAAGGTATGGTCAGATAGGAGATTATCTCATGGGCTAGTGAATATTCAAATGACTATAGATTAAGTTAGTTGAGGTGGTGCTCAACATATATGGTTATAGATATGAGAAACTTGAGGTTAGGAAATGAAGCACTTGTAAGGTTGATAGGAAACATCTGACAAACAGTTATAACTATAATCGTGCTCTTGGGGAGAGACGTAAATGATTTAGAAATGAACATGAGGCCAATGTCAGTTAGGGTATAAAAAAAAGGTTATGACTCGAAGAAATAAGATTTGTCAAGATGTTCAATATGATTAAATATACATGGGGAATTCACTTGAGATGAAAAAGAGACTATGTGATAGGAAAGAGTCATATACTATATGTGATGGGTATGGGGTTGGTGATTAGGCCACACATCTAATTGGTCATTATAAGAGGGGTATGTGTAATCACTCTTAGACCTTTGGGCGTGAGACTATGGAACATATAGAAGTTCCATAGAGACACAATTGGAGAGTACTATGATTGGGGAACATAGTACTAGAGATATTTGAGGAAATGGTATCAGGAATGACCACAAACTCGTCAGACTGTGTGTCTATGTCCAGATTATATAAGGATTAATTAAACGTTTTATATTTTCATAAAGGGAAGCGATAATTAGATAAGAGTGGAGAAGATATAATGAGTTAGCAATAGAATAAATCATAATTAAGTCTTATGATTACTAATACTTAAAGTAAGTTATATATCTATAAACTTACTAATAAAATTTCAATATGAATTATGATGATTGATCAAGATAGCTATGGGGGATCTAAGGGGACACATATTTAACAATGTTGTTCAATGCAACGATAGATTACAGTCAAGCCCATGATTGGCGAAAAGTCAATACAAGGGTATTAATGCAGCTTAGCTTGTGTGATCGTTTTGCAGCGACTTGTAGAAGTTGTGGTTGGTCTTATGATGTTGACCAATGTGATAGGGAAATATCAAGGGGATATTAGCAAAAAGGTTGCACATATTTACAAGATGCATTCTTGTTGACGATAAACACAAGTTTTTGGTCAAGACCATGTAATAGTAGGATTGATGTGGATGGAGTTGATCCATGGAAGATTCCTAAAATGCAAAGGTGATCTTCACTATTGTAGTCCAAAAAAAAAAGAAATTGAAGTTAAGGGAAATCCAATTGTCGGGTAAGTTGAACCACGAACATGGGTAATGGTTCCAAAAGCGACATGGAGCACAATATGATATTGGAAGGGGCTAGGGAGACTTCTAAAATAGGTTCGATACACCCGTATTAACAATGTCTTTACTTAGTAGAGGTGTAAATGGGTGATATATAAGCTTGGTGATATAATCACTAAGAAACAACATGTTAGACTAAAGCCTAAATGTATCAAATTTTGAGGGAATATCGATAAGAAAGATAAGTGGATATATTGGGAAATGTAGTATTGAATGACTAGCATGTGTAGTTGACATTAGCCAATAAAATAAGATGGTGTATGATGTACCCATGGTGTGGGAAAGTATTAAGGTGGTTAGAGATAATGTATCGAAAGTATCACTAGGTGCGAGGGTTCCTCAAATTGACCTAGTTCCAGAGGGAACACATAACATGAGAATATTGATCTAATTTTGTCGTGGCAAAGGAGCCAAATTCGATGAAAAGATTATGAGAGCCTTTGATCAAGGATTTTATTTAGCTAAGTTAACACCTTGGATATCATTGACAGGGTGAGTTAAATAAATATGGTATGATGCAGGTATGCATCAATAAATTTGATGTGTATGAGATCAATTACAGGAGCAAAGGTTTTGCCAAAGACGATGACCTAGTCGATCAACTTCAAACATGCAGAGAAACATGAGCAATACATATGGTTGGTATGAGGGCTGATGGGCCCGTGAAACCACAGACACAAACAACAATTAGGACCAAAAGCAAGTATACAAATAGTCCCAATATCGTCTTTCAAGTAATAAAAGTGGTACAAGTACCGGATATCGTCCACAGGGATCGTAGTAAAAGTTTAAAAGAAAGTAAGGTTAAGGAAATGATTTCAGAAGGCGATTTCGAAGACTTTAATTAGAACAGAGTTAATACGACTAAAAACAGGAGATAACAGAATATAAAGCAAACTAGGGTGTATGACTTTTCGGGTGAGATGTAAAAATTAATTTTAGTCGACCAATGTTGTCAAAATGCTACAGCATGAAACCATGCTGACAAATTGCTACAGCATGCATTCAGTAACAACTATTTTTACCAATTACTTTGAAGGTATTCCTCTCGGACTTCACCAATGCACTAATATTATAGCTTTCAACCCATATCTCTACGAGGTATCCAGACCAGTGAAAGTGACAAATGGTGTCTTCAAAGTATATGGACAAACAAATCTCTTTGTTAAAAAGCACCCTC